AAATTCGGCAATTCGATATAACAATTTTTGTTACCCTAAATAATGTAATTTTCCAATAGATGTTTTTGACAAATTCATTGACCAAGACAAAAGATTCAAAGAATCCTTATGTGATGATGCTGAGGGGCTCCTCAGCCTGTACGAAGCAACCCACTTGAGAATCCATGGAGAACAAATCTTAGACGAGGCTTTGACTTTCACGGTGCATCATCTGAAGCGTATGGTACAACAGTTAGAGTCACCACTTCAAGACCTCGTAAAGCGAGCTCTAGAGAGACCTCTCCACAGGGGCCTTCCACGAATGGAAACTCGTCATTATATTTCCTCATATGAGAAATACAATTTGAGGAATCAACAACTTCTTAAACTTGCCAAATTGGATTTTAATTATGTACAAAATATATACAAGAAGGAGCTGCACAAACTTACAAGGTAATAATAATATTCCAATTATTGTTGCTACTTTTAGCTCCAAGAACTTGATAAGTACAATTGTACCAAATTTTGATTCTTGAACTATATCATGTTTAAGTTCCTATAATATAATATTTCTTTTAAAGGTGGTGGAACGAACTAAACCCACACCTTCCGTATGCAAGAAACAGAATTGTTGCGGCTTATCTTTGGGGTGTCGCATTCCATTTTGAGCCGCAGTATTCATATGTCCGTGAGGCTGTCACAAAAGTTGTTCAAATACTTACAGTTCTTGATGATACATATGACAATTATGCTACGATTGAAGAGGCTGATAAATTCACAGAGGCTGTGCAGAGGTGTGCCATCCATGCGCATAATTAGTCACATGCATCATGAATTTGTGGGAGTGCTTCTTTTTTTTTAGTAGTAAAATTTTAATTTTTATCAATGTATAATAATCATGTTTTTAAGTTCTCAGGTGGAATATTGATGAAATTGATTGTCTTCCGGATTATATGAAACCCATCTACAAGTGTGTTTTGAAGATGTATGACGAATACGAATGTGAAGCTGTCGAACGAGGGAAACCATTTGCAATTCCTTATGCCAAACAAACTGTAAGAACCATATAAAGTTCCTTATTTACCCTGTTTAAATATTTGTTGTACGCGTCATGCAAAAAATAATATATATAATTATTGTAGGAAATTCATGTGAACATTCATCGAGATACAATTAAGGTCGGAAGTGGGAATATGTATTTTGTTACATTGCACAAGGTGACAAAATGGATCAAATATGACTTTACTAGATGGGCACATAAAGTGATAAATCTTTATAAGAACAGATTAAGCATTGCCTTAATTATTATTGATGTACTTTGTAATTAATTGTGTTTAGAAGTACAATAAGTCCGATCAAAGTGGAAATTGTTACATTCTACACTCAAAAAATTCATCTCATATGACATATCTGAGCATAACTTACTTCATTTTTATTATATTCGAAAGTACAATTTCAGTGCTATTAGTCGTTTCACCAAACATATACGTTTAGCCTTTAACTTTATTTTTTCTCCTTATAATATGCATCGGTTGCGTGTGGCCAGATGAAAGATATATGTAGTGCCTACAATCAAGGGCTCAAGTACACTATGGGAGGCCAAATTACTTCATTCGAAGACTACATTCAGATGACGATGATCTCAAGTATAATCTATGTGGGTTGCGCTGCTACGTTTCCGGGCTTGGAATCTTTGAGTGAAGAAACCATAGATTGGTTCAAGAGTGAGCCCAAAATCATTAGGCCTTTGGCTGAGGTGTGCCGATACTTAGACGACGTGGGGAGTTATGAAGTAAGCAATATCGTTTTTCCTTTGAATGTATTGAACCTAATATTAGATGCCAATAGAATATTAATTTTTTATTCTTGATTTTTTTTTCATTATTATTATTATTATTATTATTATTATTATTATTAGTATTATTATTATTATTATTATTATTATTATTATGTTTTTTCATGAAGCGCGAGAGCCAAGAGGGAGCACTCCTAACAGGGTTGGATTTCTATGTCAAATATCACGGTGGATCAGTGGAAGAGGCTAAGGTTAGGTTTGAAGAGCTAGCGGAGGATGCTTGGAAACGTTTTAACACGGAATGGGTAAGGAACCTCAAAAGCAGCAGCGTGCCAAAGGAAGTGGTGGAGGAGTTTCTTGGCTACCTTCGAGCAGCCGACGTGGTTTACAGGGATAGCAGGGATGGATACGCAAAATGTCACATCATGGCACCCGAAGTCGAAGGCCTCTTCATCGACCATATTATTGTCTGATATTTGCACACGACCAAAATTAATTGTTTCCTAAAATTAGACCACCATAAAATCTTGTTTCCCTTGACATTGATGTTGGTATATATAAACCAAAAGGAAATTGATTCAATCCAAATACCATTCATGTTAAACAATCAAGAATCAATCAAATAAAAGAGCGGAAGTGTACCTCAATTCATTGTTTTGTGAATACTTCTGTTATTTCAATTTACTAGACTAATATGGTCGTCCAAACGATCAAAACCTTATTGCAAATATTTATTTGTAATACATTAGATATCGTATGTTTTATGTATATTTCTGTACTTCAGTCTAATGTTGTTTTTACCAAAATCAGATTTGAGACCCTGGTCGAATACCGAACTTCCTGTATGAGCCGTATATCTTTCAGCTTGAGTACCTCTTCTTCGAGGGTCTGTTGTCGGTCCGAGCTGAGCTTCCTTCTCTTTTGGATCACAGACTTAACCATTTGGTTGATTTGCAGCTTATGGCAGACGACCTTTGGGTCAAATTTCGATCAAATCCTCATGGGCCCACGCGAACACGTTGAAATTATCACTTAGGAACTAGATGAGCTTGGTCCGAATCAGCTCAGTTAGATTCTTTCCAATGCGGAGCTTCTTTCGGCATGACGGCTTGTCCACAAAAATAATCTCGACCTCATCCATCGGCCTCTTGACAGGTCCTCTCTCTCAATTTCCATAATTTTGATCTGGTATCGCCCCATGCCAACGAATGTAAAGCTGCTTGACCCACTTGCTCGGGGTCAGTCACCAGAATATCCAACATCATTCGTTCGCATAAGGGCAATTCAGACAATACCTGCTCGTTTGCAGTCTTCTTTTTGACAATTTCCTCTTCCATCACATCGACAGCGTGAATTTCCTATCGGGGGACGACCAGTATACACTCCAGAGCCTCTCGCTGGTCCCCATAATGAGTACCCGGACCATCAGGGGTCGGGAATTTCTGTGTATAGTGAAAAATAGAGACCGCAGTTGGGAGCTTGTAAAGAGTCGTCCTCATGAGTATGTCATTGTACTTGTTATGATGATCGACGATCTTAAACATCTCTAGAAAGGTCTTTTTGCGCGAACCGTTCCTCTGAATTGGATCGACAAAGTTATCTCCCCAATCGAAATGGTAGTTTGGTCATCAAAACCTTGGATCTTATCCCAGCAAGGTCTCACCTCTTTCAGGTCAATCCCCATCTTCTTGAAAGTGTTGTAGTACAGAATGCTCACGTACGCCCTTGTGTTGACTAGAATTAAGTGCACATTAATATTGACTATGAGTTTCATGAGCACCAGCGCATTGACATTCATCATATTTTCATGCATTATGAGTGATATATTGTGATATTTGGTCATGGTTATCGTGTGATTGTGCACCATTTTGTTTTATTTATTAATCTATGATAGAGGTGCTTTTGTCGTTGGTTTTGCAGAAAATATGCCCGGAAATGCGTTGGAAATGGAATCGGGACGAAAAACGGCAAAAACGGGTGCAGAAGAGGCCACACGACTCGTGTGGGTAGTGACACGGGTCGTGTGGGTTGAGAGAATAAGAGACGCAGCTACGGCTTTTTCACACGAGTCGTGTGGGTTGAGACACGAGTCATGTGGCCTCACACGACTCGTGTGAACCGGTCGTGTGACCAGTCGTGTGAGTCTAGAAGTTCGCCGAAATGTTGAGAAAAGTCACACGACTCGTGTGGCATGTGACACGACTCGTGTGACGTGCATACCAGATCTCCGGGGAATAGGATTCTTGTGCGATTTCTTCCCTTTTTCGACCCAGAATGACCCTACAGTATATAACAGACCTAAGGAACTCGTTTTTGGGACTTTTGACACCATTGGAGGCCTAGAGAAAGCACGAAACACACGAGGGATTCGAGGAAGTCAAGATTGAAGATTCGGGAACTAACGGCGACAATAGTTCTTCTTTCTTTTCTCTTTTTCTTCTTCATTGAACTCATGAATATATTTGTTTTGAGTTTTGAGAATATGTTTAGTAGCTAAACCTTTTAGGGATTCTAGAATTTGCGAGTACTCGGATTATTTTATGAAGTGATTTTGTTTATTCATTCCGGTTTATCATTCGTTTATCAATTTCTTGTGCTTTTATTAATTGTGTGAATATAAGGGCCCGTATTTATGCATATTTGTGATTGACTTGAGACCGAGAGGAGATAGTTGATTGCTAGAATTTGGAAATTCATAACTTAAGAGACTAAACAGACCGAGAGGTTGATAGAATCTTGCGAGGGAACTAGAATCTTAGGAGCTTATGGGAGTTGATTGTTTATCTTGAGACCGAGAGGAGATAGATAACAGTTAATATCTACGATTTAACTTGTTCGAGAGAAAGGTGTAAACTACTTTAGTGATTATCCCTACGAATGGTAGAATTAAATAAGATTTGAATGAATAATTAATCTTTGCTAGAATAATCCCGAGGAAAGCATAGCCTAGAATCTATTTTCTCATTCTTGATTTATCTTAGAACAAGCCTTCATTAGTGTTAGAATTTATTTTGCAATCATTCATTAGTTTAGAATAAAATCACCATTTAAATTTGCTTTAGACTGAATAATATTTAACCGTTTACATTTTGATACTTAGTTATTTTGACAACAATCTCTGTGGAATACGATCTTGCTCGCCACTCACTATAGCTATACCGTATACTTGCGGGTAGTGAAAATATTTTGCGAACAAGTTTTTGGCGTAATTGCCGGGGAATGTTTTGTTAAAGTTAATTAATATTAGAAGAAGACGGGTAGATATTACTTTAGTCATTTTTATTTTTGTTCAATATTTTGGTTCCTAATTGCATCCTTTTTGGTTTGTGTGTTTTGACAGGTACTTGCATGATCACGAGGTCTAGTGGGAGTTCACGCAAAATTTAACCCCGAGATTGAAGCTAGTTGCCGAAGGAACAACGCAAACCGGAGACTACAACAACGACTGAGAGGCGCAATGGAAGAACAAGGTGAAGAGAGGTACAGACAGCTCCAAGCACAACTGGCAGAGCTACAATGCCAGCTAACCGAGCAGCAGGCTCAACAGGAGACAGGACCACCGGTCCGGAGCATCTTCCAACCTCAAGTTGACCAAGTATATGGAGGAGGTCACGGGCCGAGAATTGCTGCTAATACTTTTGAGTTGACCCCGTCCTTGATTCGTATGGTTCAGCAAGAGCAGTTTGGGGAGGTGCTATCGAGGACCCGAATGCGCACCTGGCGCAAGTTCTGGAGATATGCAGTACTGTGAAGTACAATGGAGTCCCAGAGGATGCTATTCGCCTCCGCCTTTTCTCTTTCTCTCTTAGAGATAAGGCGAAGGTGTGGTACAATTCTCTTGAAGCCGGGACAGTGACATCATGGGAGGAAATGCGTCAGAAATTTCTCTTGAAGTTCTTCCCACCGAGCAAGATGTTGAGACTTCAGACGGATATCACTCAATTCAAGAAACAAGATAACGAGCCTTTATATGAGGCTTGGGAGCGCTACACGCAACTCCTTCGGACGTGCCCACAACATGGTTTTTCGGAGGAGCACCAGATTTGCTACTTCTACAATGGATTGAGTGGCCTGATGAAGGCCATGGTGGATGCCTCAGCTGGAGGCGCTCTGTTGGGAAGGCGACCAAATGACACAAAGTGAATTCTTGAGGAGATGGCTTTGAATAGCTACCAATGGCCGGTTGAGAGAACTATGCTTAGGAGGGTCGCGGCGACTAATGAGACGGACTCAGCGTCATCTATTGCAGCTAATGTAGTAGCAATGTTGTTGAATAACTTGCAAGGAGTAAAGACTGAGAGCGTAGGAGTTGGAGAACCGGTCGAGGACGTGAATTATGCGAATAATCGGAATTTTGGAAATTTTCGATGGCCTCAAGCGGGCAACACTTATTACCAAGGCAGCCGGAATCACCCCAATCTCTCATATGCAAATCCGAATAATGCTCTACAGCCATCCCCAGGATTCTCGGTGACCAGTGGGGTCATCAACGAGCCAAAGAAACCGGCAATCGAAGATACTCTCGCCTCATTCATGGCTAGCACGCAATCATTTATGAACCAGACACAACAATTACTGAACGCGAATGATGCACGGGTTGCGTCAATGGAGAATCAACTGAAGTCGGTGGAGCAGCAGATTGGGCAATTGGCCACGGCAGTTGGGATTCAACATCAGAAGGGACAATTTCCGAGTAACACAGAGGTGAATCTGAAGGAGCAATGCAAAGCCATTCATCTGAGGAGTGGCACGGAGTATGAGGGCCCGAGGATGCCGTCTGATGAGTCGGGAAAAGTCGTGCATGAGGAAAGCAAGGAAGAGGAAGAAGTTGAGGAAGTAGTAGTGGAGCCCCCAAAATCGTCAATTACAGGGGCTGAGAAGCCAATATCTACTTCTACCACTTCTACTCCTAAATATTCCTTTTGTTGATGCATTGCAGGAGATGCCCAAATATGCCAAGTTCTTAAAGGACATGGTATCTAGGAAGAAGAAGCTCAAAGCGTATGAGAAGGTGAATTTGACGGAGGAGTGTAGTGCTATGACCCAAAAGAAGATGCCTTTCAAATGCAAGGATCCCGGGAGCTTCACAATAGCATGCATCATAGGAGGAAAGCGTTTTGGGAAGGTGTTGTGTGATTTGGGGGCGAGTATTAATCTCATGCCATTATCCATTTTTAAGAGGTTGGAGATTGGGTCGATTAGGCCTACGACGATTGCATTGCAAATGGCGGATAGATCCTTGTCTTATCCAAAGGGGATTGTGGAAGACGTACTGGTGAAAGTCGAGGAGTTTATCTTCCCGGCTGACTTTGTAGTCCTCGACATGGAGGAGGATAAGGAGGTTCCGCTAATTTTGGGTCGTCCATTTCTTGCGACCGGGGGAGCATTGATTGATGTGAAGAATGGCGAGCTTACTCTCCGAGTTGACGACGAGAGCATCACATTTTCCATATATCAAGCGATGAAGAGTAGTGATGAGAATGGTGAGATCGAGGAATGTAAAGTGATTGAAGTTGTTGAGGCTTCCTTCGACAATGACATGATTACTTCCTCGTCTAAAGACCCTTTTGATCTATGTGTTCGAAAATCATTATTTGCTTCTTCTTCGTTTGATCCTTTTCAAGAAAAATTATTTAAATGTGTTAATGTGTTGGATTGTTGTAGGGAAATCCCGAAGAGGGAAGCTGCATTTTTGGAGTTGAGACGTGATGAATCG